GCCCCCCCGCCTCCCCACGCCCTGTGGGGTCGGACCCCCGGGGGGACGCGGGGTCACATCCCCCACAGCCCCAGCGCCCCGACTGGGCAGGAGGGGGAGGGTCCCCGTGCCCCCCCCGCCGTCACCCAGCAGCACCCCCCCCGAAGGCAGCTGAGGCCTTGCAGCTCATTGCTTCCCCCCCTCGGAGGAAGGAGCATCACCCCTGAGCTGCGCGGCTGCTCCGGCCTGGCCAGGACGGTTTTGCCACCATGGCAGCATTCGGCGACGGAGGATGGCAGGGCTCTGCCGCGACAGCTGAGCCTGGTGGCACGCCCTAGGCACGAGCAAGGGGGGCACGGAGCTGCCTTGGGGGTCCCATGCTCAAACGTGGCCGTGCACATGGTGGGGACAGGCACATGGCACGTGGCGGGGACCTGCACGCCCACCCAGTCCTGCTCACTGGCACCCACTTTCCTTAGGGAGCCGCTGCCTGGCCCCTGGGAAGGTCCCTGCTCTGTCACCAGTGTCCCCGTGGCTCCGGACCCCGCTCCCCAGCCTGGCCCAAACCCTGCTCCCAGGCTGCCCCCGGACACCCTGAGCCACTGAGGCAGCCCCACCGTGCCCAGCACCCTCCCCAGCACCCTCCCCAACCCGGGGCTCCCCCCGCTCCTGGCTGGGGTTCCCCTGTAAGGAGCAGACCCCCGCTGCACACGTGAGCACCCGTGACGGCCGGCAGGTGCAGCTGAGGGTGTCCCGCCAGCGGTGACCCCAGGGAGAGGTGGCCCCTTGGGGCAGCCGCAGGGCCAGGCAGGGAGCCGGGGGTCACCCAGCGTCCCCGGCTCCCGGCACCGCCTGTGGTGTTCCCCCGCTGCCGTTTCTCCTGGTGCCAGCCAGAGGAGCTGGGGCGCTTGGAGATGGCGCGCGGCCGCGCTAACAGTGTGCCGATGGCCCCCTCCCATCCCACCGATGCTGCGAGCGTCTGCCTTAACATCCATAAATATTTATCGCCCCGACACAGGCCGCGGCTCCTGGGGTGCACCGCAGCCCACCCGGCTCCCCCCGGTTCCCTCGGCCGGGGGTTCCCTCCCGCGGGGATGGGGCATCCCACGCGAGGATGCAGGACCCGGCCACACAACCAGGAGGGCAAGCGCCGCAGCTGCCCTGGAGCCCCCAGCCCCACCTGGGGGGCTGCCCCCCTCGGGGAGCGGCTGGGGCGGGGGCTCCCACGGGCCGTGCACACCCCAAGGACCCTCCCTGACCCCCCTGTCATCCCACCCCTTTGCACGGAGGTCTCTGCCTGCGGGTCTGGGACAAGGCAGGGCAGGG